CATGGCTTGTGTATATCATATATATATACATATATATTATTCATACCTTCAGTGTATAGGACGCAAGCAGATTTATACATCAAATTTTGGGGTAAAAAAGTGTGTCTTATACACCGAAAAATACGGTATTTGTGTTCAATAGTCATAGCATTCTCACGATTATCTCCAAAATAAAAAAAAGTTGTGCATCAGCACTATTGGTTTCCTTAACAATCATAAACACCTCAATCAGACCCCTCTAACTTTTCTTTCTTTTTAGTAAGTTCTCTCCCCACTCAGACTGTTAGTATAATAAGTGATGTTAAAATTCCTTTATTTATAAATAGTAATACTCTTCTAAAGTTTAACCTGTAATGTCAACTATATATAAATCTCATTAAGCATTTTTTCTAAGTTACTAAGGTTTTGGAGACAGCTTGAATGGGTGAAAGAAAACTTTATTGCAAATTTAATATGGTAACAAATGTACAACATATTGACAAGGTTTTGTCATCAACAGGTACATTTGTTACTATGTTAAGGTTGTAAAAAAGGCTTTTTTATTACTAATTCAAGCTGTCTCCAAACTCTATTAGTCTCAAAGTGTGTGTTCCTTGTCACAAAATCTTTGTGAATTGTTATGAGAGTATAAAGTTAACTATATAATAAAGGTGCTGTCCTTTGTCCAATAAGTACATTATTTTGATTGTTTTTTTTTTGGTATAAATAAAGATTGTTTAATCGGGTTTTCTGCAAATGTGTCCAGTTTCTTTCTTCTCAAACTTGTTGGACCTCCTGTTATTAAGTGGGAAATTTTGGAGCCATGACCACAGGATATCTTATAGTAAAGTTTTCTACTGATGTGTCTATTGCTTTTTCATGAAACTGTGGTTGTCAAATGACATGCTGATTTGTATATGGAAAGTGGTTTGAATATAGCATAATCAACCCTATATATATAAACCCTAATTGAAAAATAAAGTTTTAGAGATAAACTGATATATTTTTGTTTGTGATACACATAGTATTAATGCAATATTTGTTGAGTCGAGGACTGCATCATATTTTTGCCTAGTAAGAATGATGTTTTAATTACTGAACTTTTCCTGTCTTTCTTAGAAGAACACGGCTGCTTTAATCATGGAAGATGAGGAAATGTTCCTGTCCATAACTGCTCCAACCTTTCACAGCAGTGTAGACTTCACTGTGCATGACTGGCTAAAGAAGTATAATGCTACTTCCCTAAGACCTGTTGATTTCAGGGAATACTGGGCCTTGAATGTACCCAATATCTATAGTCCAAGAGCAGATGTAAACTGTTTAAACATGACTTTTGATGAAGAGCTTGCAAAACAGGTACTGTTCACTCCCTTGGAACGGTTTGTATGTGGCTGTAATGATACATATGGAGTTTTTGAAGAGTTGAAAAAAATTGATAACCCACCCGTGTTATGTGGCCATGTGTTCAAATCAGAAGAGCCCACATATTCATGCAGAGACTGTGGCTTAGATCCAACATGTGTGCTGTGTATGGAATGTTTTAAAAACAGGTTTGTTTTGTTTGCAATCATAACTATTCACTGGCATCCCTTTATCATGTCAAGAATGTTTGGGTATGTTTTGTTATACTTCATGTACGTGTGTATTCATATCTTATACTTGTACATTTCTACAATATTTTATCAAATGAAGAAATTTAGTGAAGATCATTAATAAAAAACAACTGAATACATTCATACAATCTAAACTCTATATTTGATTTTACACACTGAAAATTATAGCTTTAATATTGAATGGATATGGTTTGTTAAGTACTGTTGTATAAAAAACTTTCATAAAAGAGTTTGATTATGCTCAGTTTCCTGTTTATGGACAGTAAGATGCAAGCCAGGATGAAACTGCAAAAACTACTGTTGTCCAGTGGCTATCCATATAGTTATATTACTAAGACATTCCACAATTTTGGCACTCAAGATTTTAACAAACAACACCAAAAAACGAAACCACCACATTAAAATGCTGACTAGTGGATTATGCCCTTCGTAGATAAACCTTTAACTACTCATCTTTGTCAAGCATTTAAAAGAGCTGGTTTGAATATACACATCATAGAAAAACCTGGAGGATATACATACTTGTTCATCCTTCAATAACAACAATCCATGCAAATCCAAAAAGTGTTTTGCTAAGACCAATGGCTTAGAGAAATCCTGCATACTTAGGAACACTGTCTATGAAATGGCATGTATGTAGTGTTCAACCACATATGTTGGTGAATCCAGTCATGATCATATATTTGATCATTTCAAAGAACATATTTGTGCTGCTGTGAAACTTGACCAAAAAGAAGCCACTGCTGAACATTACATCAATGTACATGGCATAATTAACGAGACACCTTATCAGATCAAAATTTTAGAGACTTGTGACACCTTTTTTTTTTGACAGAAAGCTTAAAGAATCTCTTGTGATTCAATCCAAGCACCCTTCCATTAACAGATATTATGCCTGATTTATAATACTATTATTATTATTTATGATTTTTACATTTAATTTTATGATCAGTGACTAATGCGTTCAACAGTACTTTTAGTATGCTTCACCATGCACCGATTCAATATATTTTTAGGTTCTTTTCAGTTACTATCATTTAAAATCTGTTTTGTAACCTGTGACATTCAAAGACCTTTGATAAAGATGTAAGCTGAAGCATCAGGTAGAATAAATATACATTTTCCTGAAGTTGTTTGTCACCATCATTGAAAATGGTTTCCATCATTCAATCATCGCTGAAAGTTTTAAAAAATGATAAAAAATGTTTATATGATATCCTAACACATTCACCTTGAAATATAGAGTAAAAATGTTGGAGTAATCAGAAACAGTTAATTTGATTAGTTTATTATTTTCATGTCTAGTTGATTTATTCATCCTTTCAGATAATCAGTTATTTTATGTGACACTAATTGATACTCATAGGTTATTAATTATGTTAGTTGAATTAATCTCCAAGCTCTACTTACGAATAATGTGAATTTGTAAAAAAATGAAATTTATTATACAATAATTGTTTTGCTTCATTGATTTTTTTCTGATTTCAGCTTAAATACTGTTTGATTAATAAAAATTAAACATTTCCCACTTGGCTCATGTATATTATTCAGTCATGTAGAAATCACCAAGTTTGTTAATAAAAAATAATCATTTGTCATGTTTATTGGAGCAATATTGTTTTATTATTTACAAATTACTGAAGAACTCAAAACATTTGTGTTAGAAGTTACTATTTTCTACTTGGTTAATGTGTGTAATTATCAGATGTTATACTCACAAGGTTTTTAGTACAAGATCATCATTGATAATCATTTTCGACTTTATTATTGTGTGAATTTAATCTCATCAAATACTCTCACATGGTTCATTTATACATTATTTGTCCTTGATTACTTTGTGAATATTATTACATGTAACACTTGAGGGTTCATTAATACAAGATAACCTGTGTATGAATATTGTTTTATTGTATTTACTTCATGAAGAGTATACTAAAATATACATGTAAGAGAATGATCTATTTGATTATTGTGCAGATATTGTGCAGGCTACTGTAATGTAAGAATATCATTTGTCTATTGTGCAAATAAAATAATATCACATGCATGTCTCACAGGCTACTGTAATGTAAGAATATCATTTGTCATTTGATTATTGTGTGGATATTATTTTATTATGTAATTCTTTTTAATGAGTGTTTGCTACTTGGTTATTGTGAGAATGTTATTTCATTACATCTAATTTACCCAAGGATTTATTTTTTTGAAATGATCATTTGAAACAAAGCTAACACATTGACATTGGACCATTACATACAGTTCTCACAAGAATCACCGCTACAAGATGAGTATGAATGGAGGAGGAGGCTACTGTGACTGTGGAGATGAAGAAGCATGGAAAGCATATGCATACTGTGAAATGCACTTGCAAGGAAAGCAAATGGTAGACAGTAAATATTTAACTCAAATAAATTGTTAGAAAAAGAAAAGAGTTTTATATTCAAATTTTAACCACTTTCATACCTGTGTTTTTAGTTTAAAGAGTACATTTATTTTAAGTTGTAGAAAAGTAATACACTAATCAATTTTTCCATTTTTTTGAAATTCATTCAATAAGCCATTTAGATCTTTCGATTGAAACAAATTATACATTTGTTAAAGTGGCACAGAAAATTATCTGATATTCACTCAAATGTTGTTAAGTTTGAAAGTAAAAACATTTTTTTTATATAGATGTCTGCTCAATCCAGTCCTATTGAACAGATTCCTTTAGATCTCATTCAGCGAGTGCGGCTAATTATGGAGGTTGTTTTGTCATATTGTCATGAAATGTTGTCATGGGAACACCCAATTTCTCCACCTCCCGACCTTTGCCCTCCTGGATTTAGGACAACCAATGAATCTCAGGATATATATGCTACAATGTTGTTTAATGATGAAATTCATACATATGATCAGGTAATTATATTTAAGTAATAAGAATAAAGTATGCATTTTTTCTTTTATTAATTTGATTGTTCATTTTTGTTATCACTGTGAAAATTATGTTTTGAAATTTATGAGTGAAAAAGATGATTAAATCATTAAAAATTATCTATATAAAAATAAGCTTAAAACAAGTTTAATATTTTAGGCATATTTTACTCCAAAAGTATTTCATGAAAATTACACTTATAGGAGATCAGTATTACATTAGTGGCCATTGTTAACAGCATTCTGTAGTTTAACAGTATTTCTGTTTGCATGTGTTAATTAATCTTTTTCATGAATATTCAGCCTCAAAAATGAATAAGTTTACATACTTCTGAGTTGAAGTAAAGAATTAGGTAAGGAATATTTTAACATTTTAATTTATTGTAACACCGATAGCTATTATGCATTTAGTTTTAATTGAATCAACCTACTCTTCACTGAGAAGAACTGGTAAACAAGCAAGCTAGTTTTCTTGATTCTTGAGCTGGTCAAGAAACCACAGCATCAATGGGAGGAGATTATAACAGCAATTATTAAGAACTTGTGAGTGAAACTTAAGAAAGAATGTATAATAATTAGAACAAGGCAACTTGTGGAATTTGATAATCAGTTAAATGTCAGGCTCATTAATCAATTACATTCAAGTAATCCATTATTTTCACAAGGCTTGAATGGTAGGAATAACTGAAAATAGTAATAATCAGAAACACAAGTTTTGATTAATTGGTTATTTTACATGACACAAATTGATGTAATTGAAGCTCATAGGTTACTGATTAATCAAATGATTCATAATTTGATTATTTTACATGACACTAATCACCCAGCTCTTATAATAATATATCAACAACAGCATATTTGCTACATCCAGTGCTGGTGAGACCTTTTGCTTAATACCAAAGCTCTTCAGGCCATCTGGAATATGACATAGTAGTGGTTGAGATGCTATTTATATTATAAAATTGCATGAACAACAACAAATATTTTTTAATGAATCTGCTATCTTTCAGTAATGAGCTAATTTATGTGTGCAATATATTTTTATTTATTTGAGAATTTTTGGCACCTGTTTGAGTGGACCTTTTACCTGGGGACTAAAATTGCAACATTGAATTAAAACATGCATAGAAAAAAAAACTCTCAGTTATTCTTCCAAACATGTTTTAAAATACTTTGGAGTTGAAATTTATTCAATAAACATTTTGTATATTTTTTATTTTATACATGCAACTTTGTAAAATAAGTAAGAACTTAAGCATTTAAAAATGCCCAATACTTTATTATATAAAGCCAAAAACAGAATATACAGATAAAACTCTACATGTTTCGATGGAAAAAATACCACCATCTTCTTAATGGAAAGTTACATAGAGTTCAGAAAAGAGTAATAAAAGCTTAGCTGGATGATATGTTGCCAAAAAAAAAGATGTTTGTAAAGAACTGCTACAATTACAGCCTTATTGTTTTTCTAAAGCTTGCTTTATCATTTCATACTTCATTGAAATTATGATATTGAGTATGACAGGAAAATATTTTTTTGTAGAACAAGATCAGGTTAAGAGGTATTAGGCTTAATTAGATCATTTTGCACTTGACCATTTCAAGTTTTGTTTTCCAAACAAGCTGCTGTTTCTTAGACTGTGTTTAAATCAGCCCTTATTGTAAATAACTGCTTGAATGGGCAAAGAAAATAACAAAAAAGAAACATAAAAGACTAATTTAAAATTGGTTTAAGACTGTTTAAAAGTATAATAAATGAAACTTTCTGATTAACCTTATTTTTTTGGTATGGTAAGAAGTTATTTTTATTGTACATAAACGATTGTAAACACTAAAACTTGACAAGAGTTTACAGTTTTATGTAGGAAGACATAAACATCAGTAATTGAAATCTACAAGAGAAGTAAGCATTTTCAATTGATTCATTAAAAAAAATTCACAAAGAAGTCTTTTCCAGTGATGAGAATTCATCCAAGTATCACACATAAAAATAAGATATTTTACAAAAGCTACATGACCTGTACAAAGTTCATCTCAAATAGCAAACAAATTTTATTAGGTTTAGTTTGTGCATGACAAACACAAAGAGAAAAGTTAGACCATTCAGAATACCCTTAAAAGAAGCTAACTGTAGCAATAGCACCAAAAAGGTTTAGTTGGAGAAACATAACATATGGAAGGCAATAGTCCATTTCAAGGTTGTCTTTGAACATCCATGCTTAAGAAAAATAACAATACACCATTTAATTTCCTGAAAATCATCAGTTCCATTCTTAAACTTATGTAATGTGCGAGTATCTATAAATTAATCTCCTTATTAAAAAAATAATAAAGCTGTTAACTAGAGCCTAGCCTGTCTTTTTCCAAATCTTAAACTTTCCTTTCATCTATGTCCATTTGAATCTTCTATGGCAACCCTTATCCCCATAAGTCAGGCTCATATGTGAGCTCTTTCGGGCCTCTTCACAGCCAGTAGAATCTCCGAAAGGATCCTTTATCGGCTCTTATTACCTTTCCTCCTACCTTGTTGACAAATGGCATTGGTGGTTAGACATGACTCACACGTCGGCGGGTGTCCCACTTCCTCCTCCTCATCTGGATTTACACATTTCAGGATGCATCCTTCGGGGAAGGGGGGCATGGTTGATCAACAGGAAGCTTCAGGTTTTGGTCTGCAGCCGAGAGGTCTTATCATATTAAAATTCTGGAGCTTCTCCCTGTAAATTATTTTTTGGTTCATTTTCTTCATCAGGCCAGAAATCATCTGGTAGTGATCCATTTTGACTTTTCTTCAGTGGTTGCTTATCTCAATCACCAGGGCATCACCCATTCTTGATCCCTCTGTATTTATATGTTGGATCTTCTTTTTGGGCCCACATGCTTCGATATTCATATCATTGCGTGTTCCAGATTATTTCGCTCATGTCATGGGATACTCATCACATTGAAGGTTTTGCTATGTCCCTTAATCATAAATTGCCGTGGTTTTGGTCTCCAGTCCCTCATTTTCTTGCTCTGGCTATCAATGTTTTTAGCCAGAAGTGGACCAACACATTTGTCTCTCCTTCCATTCTCCTTCTTCTCCAGATGATTTCAGTCATCCTTGACACTCCATGTTCAGTCTTTCTGATAGGTCCTTCCTGGCTGTCTCAGCTGTAGTTTCCATGGCTTCTCCAACTCCTACTTCCTCCTCCATTACCTCTTCCTCTGACTGTGTTCCTTCTTCATCATCCTCAGTCACCGGTGATAAAAACCATAGTTTTTGGCTTTCCTTTGCATAGATGCTTGATACATTAAGAATGACTGAAATAATAATTTGAGTAATAATTAATATGTATTTGTTACTTTATAGATTTAATAGATATTTGTTGTTACTTTATTGACGTTTTTACGCTTATACTGTGAGGTAAAAATGGCTGCTGCTATGATTTTGTCTGGTTTATGAGCTCGTTGTTGTCCTAATTCAGGATCTTCCTTTTAATAAATTCTTGAACATGTTAAAAGGAGAGAGAGATAAAGGAGGCCTGGCGAG